ACCCTCAATGGTGAAAAATTGAAAGCATTTCCCCTGAAATCAGGAACAAGACAAGGGTGCCCACTCTCACCACTACTATTCAACATAGTTTTGGAAGTTTTGGCCACAGCAATCAGGGCAGAAAAAGAAGTAAAAGGAATCCAGATAGGAAAAGAAGAAGTGAAACTCTCGCTGTTTGCAGATGACATGATCCTCTACATAGAAAACCCTAAAGACTCTACCAGAAAATTACTAGAGCTAATCAACGAATACAGTCAAGTTGCAGGAAAAATAGCAATTTAACACAGTGGTTAAAGAAGCATGTTCCTTCTTGCTAAAAGCTCTTCCTTTGGATGGAAGTAGCAGTGGCAGATGCTGTTGTCCCAACGAGGGCCCAAAGAAAGGGTTAGTGGCTCATTAGCAAAGGCTCTTTTTTATTCTGTATGTTTAATTTTCCAACTGTGTAACTCTCCAACTGTGTGATTGAAGTCCATCGAGGTGTCCGTTTTTAGGATGAAAGAGCAGAAGGATTGATGGAGTAGTGATTTTGCTAGCAAATAACCTCGTCCCTGTAGCAGCAATTTTATTTTCACTATACCTTCTATCCCCACATTATCAACTTCTTTCACTACTGTCTGCCATAAAAATATCAGTTAGTGTTTGCCTCTCAAATTCTTTTTTTGTTGTCATTTAGTTGTTAAGTTGTGCCTGACACCTTGTGACCCCATGGACTGTAGCATGCCAGGCTTCCCTGTCACTGTCTCCCAGAGTTTGCTCAAATTCGTGTCTGTTGAGTCGGTGATGCTATCTGGCCATCTCATCCTCTGTTGTCCCCTTCTCCTTTTGCTTTCAATCTTTGCCAGCATCATGATCTTTTCCATTGAATCAGCTCTTTGTATCAGGTGGCCAGAGTTTTGGAGCTTCAGCTTCAGTACCAGTTCTTCCAATGAATATTCAGGGTTGATTTATTTTAGGATTGACTGGTTTGATCTCTCTGCAGTCCAAAGTACCCTTAAGAGTCTTCTCCAGCACCACAATTCAAAGGCATCAATTTTTTTGGCACTCTGCCTTCTTTATGGTCCCACTGTCACATCTGTACATGACTACTGGAAAACCCGTAGCTTTGAGTATACAGAATTCTTTCTTTTCCCGTTCCCAAGTTAAGGCTCTTAATTCTGTTTGCCCAGTGTTTTTTCCACTAGCTTTCAACCACCTGAGAACTCCTCCTTAGTAGAAAATTAATGTATAGTATTCCTGAAATAACTTGTAATTCTCTTATGCTGACACTATATTTTTCTGTACCTATAAAAAACATCTCAGATTTTTCAGTCACCCTCCCACTTCAAGCCCCAAACTATTAATCTCTCCTGTCTTCCTTCCCACATTAGCCATGATGCCTTTAATTCTTCCCTATGTATCATTGGTTTCTTAATCTAGAGTCATCTGAGTAGATTTGAAATTCCATTCTGGCCCTTACCACAGCTTTTTGTTTTTCTTATTTATAGAAAATTGACACTAAACTTGCTCCCTCTCTTAAGGGAAAATAACACATAGTTTCTCAAATGTTGCTATAAAAGAGCCAGAAGAGAGAATGTAATTTATTTTACCAGTGTGATGCTATATTCCTGGCAGTTTCCTTTTCTGTGCTTTGTTTCTTATACCAAGTGTAGCTTCAGCTTAATGTGTATAGTTTAGTGAACTGAATTTTTCTTCATTATATATGCTGCTTCTTGAGTTTTTGTTACATAAAACAATGAAAACAGTGTTACAAGTTTTTGTGAATGTTAATTATTAAGTCTAACTACATTTTATTATCTTAATTTTTTTATATGAACTTCATAGACTGTTTGAAATTCCTTTTTGAGACTCTTCCTGTTACTCTGGCATATAGCTATATTCGCTATGGTTATAATTTTTTAGCAATTATTGTAGGTCTTGCAGTGTTAAAGATTAGCTGAGAAAAACATAATTAGAAAAGGGCTAATCAGGACATCATTGATATCACCAGGCCTACAAGTGCTTAGAAGAGGATTAAAAGTAGCTTGCATTAAAAATATTTTTAGAGGTTTGGTTTATTTACCAGTCGCATTGTCATACCTGTACTACCTTGTAGTCCTAAGTATATCAAGGGAATAATTAAAGTCTTTAGAAGCTTGCATAAATTTTTTTAGTGCTTAATTGTGTATTATAGGGTAAGCATTGCTAATTGTAAGTGATACCGCAAGTTGCTATACCTGTAACATTGGTATGGTTATTTTAAACATGCATCTCATGGAGATTTTTGTTTGTTTTTAAGGATATTTTGGAACTCTTAGAAAAAAGAGTGAAGTCACGATTTTCCCACCGGCAGATACACTTAATGAATTCATTTAGTTTTCCACAGTATCTTAAAATATTTAAAGAACAATTATCTCTACCTTCGGTATTTCCAGAGAAGATTTTCGCCGAGCAATGGAATGAGAATGTACAGGTAATTTGGAACAAAGACATAAAGTAATTTTTGTGTCTTGCTATACCATTTGAAAACAGTTGAAACTTGAAAATTTTTATAATCTGTAAATTAGCATAAAATTTCTAATATTACTGTGGCATAAAACTGCATTAATACATACTCTTGTGTGTATTTTATTTTAAAAAACAGTTGCAAATGTCATACCTCCTGTTTTTTTCCTCAAAAGAACTTTTATGAGATTGGCTTTATATCTGTTTATATTTTAGATTACTTTGTTAATGAATTTCATCATTAAATATTTTCTTTATTTTACAAGTTTAGCAATATTCTTACTTAATAAGGTTCATATGTACCTGTGGAGTGTGGATTTTTCTTCTCCATTTCTTATGAACAGCTTAAACTTTTTTTTTCTTGGGTCTGTTAAGATGCATTTTAGGCTGGCACCTTTGGTTATTATATATTATAATATATAATATAATATTATATTAATTAATATATATTAATTATATAATAATAATATATTATTATTATATATTATCTCTATTGACAAATCCCATCTTTGAGTTCTTAACATTTACTAAACCTTGTGGACTCTGTAAATTTACTTAAGTTGATGAGCATAACTTGTGCAGGCTATTGTATCAACTTAGCATACTAGCATCCATTTATCTTATACTGACAAGTTTTAGTTGTTAGGAAAAAGGGAGACAGCGTATGTATGTGAATATGTGATTAATAATGTGTTTGGAAAACAGTGTTCCTAAATAAATCTCACACATGAAAAATATGGGCCTTGTAGAAAATATTGGAGACCTGGGTTTTGTAAGAATTGGGAATAACTGGTCTATAATATTAAATACTAATGTGTGAGGATGATTAGTTCTGCTTAGAATTACACAATCTATTGGAGGAGGAAATGGCAACCCACTCCAGTATTCTTGCCTGGGAAATCCCATGGTCAGAGGAACCTGATGGGCTAGAGTCCATGGGGTCACAAAGAGTTGGACACAACTGAGCAACTAAACAACAAACAACACAGTCTATATTCATTGGCTCTAAAAAGATTGTTTTATGTTATAGCGATAATGGTAGTTTATATTCTTTTTACTATAAAATCTTTAATATCAATACCAAATTAAAAGTGAGACTCTGCATTTATTTTGCTCTTTAACAATTTTTTTTCCCATCTTTGTTGAGGTATGATTGACAAATTAGAAATTGTTTATATTAAAGTGTACAACTTGATGTTTTGGTATATATTGTGAAATACCACAATCAAACTATTTAACATATCCATCACTTCATATAGATTTCTTTCTTTTCTCTCTTTTTTTTTAAATTTTGTGGTAAAACAGTTAAGTTTTATCTTCTAAGCAAATTTCAAGTACATACTACTATATTGTTAACTATAATCATGTTACTGCACATTATGTGCATAACTTACTCAGCTTGTATAACTAAAACTTGATTCTTATTTCGATTTTCAAATACTCTGCTCATGTAAGCACTATTAATTTTGACACTTTTTAAAATTAAAAACTCATATAATAAAATTTAATCAGTACTTAAGAATACATGGTAAAAGGTAGAATTTTCCCTTATGTTCATGCCCATCTTCCCTCCTCTCACTGCAAAGTAATTATTTCGTTTATAGTATTTCAGACCTTATATACATGCTGAAGTTGTTTTTGCATGAAGGATTCAAACCTGAAATGTTATTCTCTGGTTTATCTTTTTTACTTTGTCCTACCTTTGTTCTGATTGTTAATTTCATATTATTTTTCCTAATATAACTATACAGAATTCTATGTCAAAATAGTTGACTGTTTTCCTTAAAATCCAGATATTGTGTCATGATATAACTAGTGAGTCTTCCCTTCTGCCTTCCTCCCCAAATTAATTTTGCCTGGAACTCAGATATTTACTACGTCATATAAGTTTTTCTTGATACTACATCTGACTGGAGGATTCCATGCTTCATGAACGCTTCATAGTTGGTGCTCTTCTATTGTCTTTTTCTTTACCTGTGCGTGAGGCACATCAGAGCTCTGGATCTTTGGCCTGTGAATCCACCACTGAGTGTGTCACAGACTTTCACCTTTTCTAAATCTTGAACTGATTGTCATGTTAGCAATAGTTATTTTTGTGATTGCTTTAGTGATCAGATGCAATCTTTCCTAGCATTTAAATGTCTGTGATTTCCCAGGGCTTTTTTTATTCTTATCTCTGCTCACTTTCTTTTCCTAAAATGACTCCATAAGCCTGGAGTGTACTGTCCTGTCCTGGATCTTTCTGTCCTTCCCTGCTGTGTTGCATTCTGAGCGTCTTACAGTGGGTATATAAAGGAAGTAGATGGTGACAGTTTCTGTGAAGTATAACTTTTGATGACTCAGAAAATGGTAACCATGTGATAATAGAGTTGCTTGCCCTTATTTTTTTTGTCCTTTGCTGAGCACTGAGTTAAGGGGCAGGATGATAGGAATGAATGTGGAAACACTCCAGTCCTCTTTTTGATTATTTTGTGTTTTTTTCTTTCTTAAGGTAGAACTGGTACCACTGGACTTTCTGTCTCTTAGTGCTGATATTTTCTTGCCCCATCCTAATCATCATTTGCCACCTCCCTTTGGCATATGCCCAGAAACAAAAAAACAACAATGAAAAAAGCCCAGAAAACTAAGTATACTATATTTTCTAGAGTTAAAACTGTGTGTCTCTACTTCCCACTGGAAGAAGATCGAGATTCAGGAATAAGTTCCAGTCTAATGGGATGAATTCTCGAAGCCAGGCTTCAACAGTACGTGAACAGTGAACTTCCAAATGTTCAAGCTGGATTTAGAAAAGGCAGAGGAACCAGAGATCAAATTCCCAACATGCGCTAGATCACCAAAAAAGCAAGAGAGTTCCAGCAGAACATCTACTTCTGCTTTATTGACTATGCCAAGGCTTTTGACTGTGTGGATCTCAATAAACTGTGGAAAATTCTGAAAGAGATGGGAATACCAGGCCCCCTGACCTGCTTCCTGAGAAATCTGTATGCAGGTCAGGAAACGGCAGTTAGAACCAGACATGGAACAACGGACTGGTTCCAAATCAGGAAAGGAGTACATCAAGGCTGTATGTTGTCACCCTATATATTTAACTTATATGCAGAGTACATCATGAGAAATGTTGGGCTGGATGAAGCACAAGCTGGAATCAAGATTGCCAGGAGAAATATCAATAACCTCAGATAGGCAGATGACACCACCCTTATGGCAGAAAGTGAAGAGGAACTAAAAGTCTCTTGATGAAAGTGAAAGAGGAGAATGAAAAATTAGTTTAAAACTCAACATTCAGAAAACTGAGATTATGGCATCTGGTCCCATCACTTCATGGCAAATAGATGGAGACACGATAGAAGCAGTGAGAGACTTTATTTTCTTGGATTCCAAAGTCATACAGATGGTGACTGCAGCCATGAAATTAAAAGATGCTGGCTCCTTGGAAGGAAAGTTATGACCAACCTAGATGACATATTAGAAAGCAGAGACTTTACTTCGCCAACAGAGGTCCATCTAGTCAAAGCTGTGGTTTTTCCAGTAGTCATGTATGGATGTAAGAGTTGGACAATAAAGAAAGCTGAACGCCACAGAACTGATGCTTTTGAACTATGGTGTTAGAGAAGACTCTTAAGGGTTCCTTGGACTGCAAGGAGATCCAGCCCGTCCGTCCTAAAGAAAATTAGTCCTGAATATTCATTGGAAGGACTGATGCTGAAGCTGAACCTCTAATACCTTGGCCACCTGATGCAAAGAACTGACTCATTGGAAAAGACCCTGATGCTGAGAAAGATTAAAGTCAGGAGGAGAAGGAAATGACAGAAGATGGGATGATTGGATAGCATTATCAATTCAATGGACGTGAGTTTGTGTAACTCCGGTAGTTGTTGATGGTCAAGGAAGCCTGGTGTGCTGCAGTCCATGGGGTCACAAAGAGTTGGACATGACTGAGCAACTGAACTGAATGGGGTGAAGTTTATGCTCTCAGTAAATATACTATCCTAGTTGCTGTAGTCCCCAAGCCCTTGCTGCTGTTTTTAGTCTTTATCTTATTCAGGGAAGCTGTCTAGTCCCTTTTTGCCAAGAGCATCTGGACTATGAACTTCAGTTGTATAGCTTCAGTTGAAGAGTGAGCTTCAGTTGAAGAAAAAAAACTAAAATGTCAGCACCATGGCCAGAGGCATTGCCTGTAAATGGGGTTGTGCATTGAAGGAGCTATCCTTTCTCTCAGTGCTGACTCTCCAGCAATTTTTTTCTAATTCCAAGTTTAAACAAAAAGCAGAGGTATAGCTAACAAGTCACCTATGAAATCTCATACAAGAAATATCTTCATGATAGACTTGAAGCTAGACATCCTACCAACTTGAATGTTTGTTTTAGCCCTATGCAAATACATAAGTAAGCAGGATAAACACCAACACCATCTCAGCAAGGCAGTGTAAAAAAATCTGTGTATAAAAGTATCTTAAGAGGACCATAGCTAATTCTCTTCAAAGGAAGTTCCCACAAAAGTGCTATAGCTAAGTTCAAGAAATATCCCCTGCTGTCTTAACCTTTCAGTTAACAAAAGGTGAGACCGTTTAACAGGAACAGACTAGGAGACTTGGTCCCTCTGCCGCTGCCAGCGAGCTGTCCCTGGAGCAGCATGAGTCCTGCTGTGCCCCTGGAGCCTTCTCCTGAGAGACTGCCCGTGACTCAGACTGCAGTGAGCACGTTAAGTCATTTCTCCAACTGCTGCTATTGTGCTTATTGGCGAAAAGAGACTCTACAGCTTCCATGAATAAGGCAAAGACTAAAAATAGTAGCAAGGGTTGGGGACTATAATAGCTAGGATAGTATATTTACCGAGAGCCTAAAACTTCATCCCATTAGACAGGAACTTATTCCTGAATCTGGATCTTCTTCCAGTGGGAAGTAGAAACATACAGTTTTAACTCCAGACAATACAGTATACTTAGTTTTCTGCCCTTTTCTTCTTATTGTTGTTAATTCTTATTCCTTGCAGATGATTTTTGAAAAATTATGTCAACCTTAGCCAAGCCTTTTTTGTCTGCCAACTCTGAATTTACTGTCCTTCCATCTAATCTTTTCTTCAGTGCCAAATGAACCTCACGGTTCATTGATCCTTATTCACTGCAGTCACTGTTTTTAGTCTTGTCTTTCTCTCTTAAAGGGCTTGCTGTTGCTGTATAAACAGGGTCAGATACCCTTTGGAAGTACATCAGATGAGCGTAAAATAATAAAGTAATACAAATTTTAAAAACTTTCGGAAATTAACTGTATTCCTAAAATTGGTGATTTTTACCAAGTAACTTATAAAGTTGATATATTAAGTATATATTTAGGTACTGCTTTTTCAAATGACCCTATTGACCTCTAAATTTCTGAAGCCATCAACCTCTCACAATATATCTTAGTTTAGTTGCACAAAGTATATAGTTTTATTACCACTTCCTCTTGAAGTCTGTCCCTCTTGTTTTCTTCCCCTGATTTTATTGCTCTCTCTTGAATTCTGTTCACATGTTCAACATCTTTCTTAATCCCTTACTTTGCTCCTTTTTTTCCATTGACTTCTTAAATTTCCATAATGCAAGTTTCACTTCTGACTATATCTCCCTCTTCACTCCTCCTAGGACATTTTATTCCCTATAGTTTCATCTTTACATTTTTTTGTATCCCCTCTACAGTCCTTCATCTCTATTTCTCACCAGGAGATTCTCCATCAGACATGTCTTCTATAAATGTTTTTCTTTCTTGTCTTCACACCACTGTGCTAATTCAGACTCATTTTGTTTCCTATATGGAGAATTGCAGTTATCTCCAATTAAGTTTTGCTGCCTTCGTCTTTCCATATAATCACTCTGCCAGTAACTGAACCTCAGGATGTTGTGACTATGCATCTTCTGTCCACATGCCACAGTCTCCCTGCAGTGCTCATGTTGTTTCCTGTAATTGTAATGCTCTATCTTCTTTGTAACCTTTTACCTCATGCATTTTAAGCATTCTTTGTAATACTTTACCTTGTTTTTGAATTCTTCTCTGGTGGCTCAGTTCAGTTCAGTTCAGTCACTCAGTTGTGTCCAACTTTTTCGACACCATGAACCGCAGCACACCAGGCCTCCCTGTCCATCACCAACTGCTAGAGTCTACTCAAACCCATGTCCATTGAGTCGGTAATGCCATCCAGCCATCTCATCCTCTGTCGTCCCCTTTTCCTCCTGCCCTCAATCTTTGCCAGCATCAGGGTCTTTTCCAATGAGTCAGCTCTTCGCATCAGGTGGCCAAAGTATTGGAGTTTCAGCATCAGTCCTTCTAGTGAACACCCAGGACTGATCTCCCTTAGGATGGACTGGTTGGATCTCCTTGCAGTCCAAGGGACTCTGAAGAGTCTTCTCCAACACCACAGTTCAAAAGCATCAATTCTTCGGCGCTCACCTTTCTTTATAGTCCAACTCTCACATCTGTACATGACTACTGGAAAAACCATACCCTTGACTAGATGGACTTTTGTTGACAAAGTAATGTCTCTGCTTTTTAATATGCTGTCTAGGTTGGACATAACTTTCCTTCCAAGGAGTAAACGTTTTTTAATTTCATGGCTGCAGTCACCATCTGCAGTGATTTTGGGGCCAAAAATAATATCAGCCACTGTTTCCACTGTTTCCCCATCTATTTGCCATGAAGTGATGCAACCGGATGCCATGATCTTAGTTTTCTGAATGCTGACTTTTTCACTCTCCTCTTTCACTTTCATCAAGAGGCTCTTTAGTTCTTCTTCACTTTCTGTCATAAGGCTGGTGTCATCTGCATATCTGAGGTTATTGATATTTCTCCTAACAATTTTGATTCGAACTTGTGCTTCTTCCAGCCCAGCATTTCTCATGATGTACTCTGTATATAAGTTAAATAAGCAGGGTGACAATATACAGCCTTGACATACTCTTTTTCCTATTTGGAACCAGTCTGTTGTTCCATGTCCAGTTCTAACTGTTGCTTCCTGACCTGCATACAGGTTTCTCAAGAGGCAGGTCAGGTGGTCNAGAGGAAAACAATAGAATGGGAAAGACTAGAGATCTCTTCAAGAAAATTAGAGATACCAAGGGAACATTTCATGCAAAGATGGGCTTAATAAAAGCACAGAAATGGTATGGACATAACAAAAGCAGAAGATATTAAGAAGAGGTGGCAAGAATACACAGAAGAACTGTACAAAAAAAGGTCTTCACGACCCAGATAATCACGATGGTGTGATCACTCACTTAGAGCCAGACATCCTGGAATATGTAGTCAAGTGGGCCTTAGGAAGCACTACTACAAACAAAGCTATTGGATGTGATGGAATTCCAGTTGAGATATTTCAAATCCTAAAAGATGATGCTGTGAAAGTGCTGCACTCTATATGTCAGCAAATTTGGAAAATTCAGCAGTGGCCACAGAACTGAAAAGGTCAGTTTTCATTCCAATCCCAGAGAAAGGCACTGCCAAAGAATGCTTTACCTATCGAACAATTGCCTTCATCTCACATGCTAGTAAAGTAATGCTCAAAATTCTCCAAGCCAGACTTCAGCAATACGTGAACCATGAACTTCCAGATGTTCAAGCTGAATTCAGAAAAGGCAGAGGAACCAGAGATCAAATTGCCAACATGCGCTGGATCATCGAAAAAGCAAGAGAGTTCCTGAAAAACGTCTATTTCTGCTTTATTGACTATGCCAAAGTCTTTGACTGCATGGATCCAATAAACTGTGGAAATTCTGCTGGCTCAGTGGTGAAGAATCTGCCTGCCAGTGCAAGAGACACTGGTTCGATCCCCGAATTGGGAAGATCTCCCGCAGAAGGAAATGGCAACCCACACCAGTAGTTTTGCTTGGTAAATCCCTTGGACAGAGGAAGCTGACAAGCTGCAGTCCATAGGGTTGGAAAAGAGTCGAACACAACTGAATGACTAAACAACAACAAATAACCCTTATTCTCTGTTGCATTTTCTTAATACATTTTGATCATCCCACTACTGTGATTGAATAAATTTTATGCTAGCAACAGTTATGTTCATCTTTGTGTGTTTGGAATTAACATAAAGGGAAGAGGATAAGGAGAAAATCAATAGCATAGAAATTTGTTTTTAATTTTTTGTTTTCCCCGAAAAGACCAGTACCTATTTAATAATGAATAAATACTAGATAGAGTTAATGAGGTACACCAACCAGTGAGGCACAATATTATATTTAGGTTTTAAACTGCATTTGTCCTTAATTCTATTTTGATGTTTTTCCTCTAGGGTCTCTCAGAAGATAGAAGTGTGAGAGAAGTGCTGCAGAAGCATTTTAATGCCAGCAAAAACCTACGTTCATTACACATGCTACTGGTTTGTATTTATTTTTATCACTCATGTTCTTTCTCTAGGTAATTATGTTCTGATGGGAACTGGTTAAACCTCTAGATAAATTTTGGGAGAATTAACATATCTACTACATTAGGTCTCCCAGTCCCTGAATATGGTACAGCTCTTCTTTTATTTAGTTCTTTGATGTCTTTCATCATCATTTTATAATTCTCACCTCACAGATCCTGTGAATGTTTTCAGTGTATACTTAAGTGTTTAATTTCCTTTGGAACAATTATAAATAATACTTTGTTTTTAATTTTGGTTTTAGTGTGCTCATTGTTAGTATATAGAAATGTGATTTTTTTGTGTGTTGATGTTATTTTCTTCAATGTTGCTGATCTCATTTATTTAAGATTTTTTTTAATATAATAGACTCCTTCAGATTTTCTATATAGATAATCTTGTCATCTGCAAATAGTTTTTACCTTCTAATTTGTATATGTTTTATTTGTTTTTCTTGTCTTTTTTGCAGTGGCTAGAACTTCTTGCGTTACGTTGAATTAGAATGGTGAGGGTGTATAATTTCCAAGCTTAAGGCAGAAGCTTTCAGTCTTTTACTATCAAATGATATAAGCTGAAGCTTTTTAATACATGTTTATTGCTAAGTTATGGTAATTCCCATCTATCCCTAAATTGCTGAGAGTTTGTTGTGCTTGTGTTGGATTTTGCCACATGTTTATTTTTTGTATCAATGAACATGATATATGACTTTTCTTGTTTAGCTTGTTAATGTTGAACTACCTTTCTTGATTTATTTTTTGCTATTTCAAAATCTTTTTTATTGTAATGAGTAAATGGAGATCGAGTACACACATTTAAGTGCATGAAATGTGCAAATCACTTAACATGACCTAATTTATTTTCATAGATATTTATTATGTTATTTCTCACCTTCTAATATCTTGGATCCAAATGTTGAACTAGCTTTATATGCATGGACAAATCCTACCTGGTCATGGTCTTTCACCAAATAATTATATCTTAAGTTTAAACAGTATCAAGAAAGGGGTACTTAATTGTTCTGCAAAGTAAACTTCCTTCACTGGAGTATTTGATAGTAGACTAATAACTTCTAGAAAGTTATTTATTCATCGTTAGGAAAGGTATAGCACATACCTTTCAAAGAAACTAATTTTGGTTTCATGAGTTTCTTTTTGGTCACTTTCATTTTATAATAATAATGGGTATCACTTATTAAATAGCACATAAATCAGGTGACCTAGTTACTTTGTTAGTCACTCAGTCATGTCTGACTGTTTGCGTGACCCAATGGACTGTAGTCCGCCAGGCTCCTCTGTCCATGAAATTCTCCAGGCAAGAATACTGGAATGGGTTGCCGTTTCTGGCTCTAGTTATCACCATCATTATATCTTATTAATTAAATCTAATTATATAATCATCTAATTATATAATTACTTAATTATATAATCTAATTAAATCTCATTATGTTAATTCTGTTTTTTTGTTGTTGCTGTTTTTGTTTTTTTTTTAATGTTTGGGTGTTATCCTTCCCTTTGAGGAAGCGTATGTTCTCTGAGGTTAAGTAACTTACCCCATGTCACACAGCTAGTAGATAACAAACCCGGGACTCAAACCCAAGTCTCTCTGGCTTCAGGTTTATCCTGCTTTACTCTTCCATGGTTCTGCCAGGTGTTAGTTTTTCCTTTTTACAGATTCTTCTTCTCTATTTCTGGTTTTGCTTAGGAAACTTAAGAGGATTTTCCTCCCTATGTACTTACCCTCTGATTAGCACATCCTCCTCCCATTTATCAAAACCATCCTGCCATTTTCAGCAATAGCTGTCTTTATCACAGACGTATTACAGAGACTAAGAATTTTTAGAGTAGAGACTTTAGTAATTTAGGTACCAGTGTTTACTAACTTCTGGTATTTGGAGGATACACACACACATATATACATAAACACGTATCTCTCACTGGAGAAGGGACAGGCTGCCCACTCCAGTATTCTTGGGCTTCCCTGCTGGCTCAGTCGGTAAAGAATCCACTTGCAATGCAGGAGACCTGGGTTCAATCCCTGGGTTGGGAAGATTCCCTGGAGGAGGGTGTGGCAACCTTGCCTGGAGAATTCCCATGAATACAGGAGCCTGAGGGGCTGCAGTCCATGGGGCCACAAAATTGTACACGGCTGAATGACGAAGCACAGCATAGCATAGCTTTCATTCTGGAAAAACGTGTGGCTCAAAATTGTCAACATGAGAAGCCTTGTTTTGCTAGTTTCCTATTATATTTTTAATTCAAAAGAAAAGTTTTGGAATTGGTAGAAATTATGAAGAAAAGAAAGACTGATATTAAACATAATTTGGTAATTTTTCAGTAAAATATCAGGAGTTATACACATGGGAAAAAAATACCCTCAAATGCATAGCCTAAAGTTAAGTTCAGGTTTATAAACCTAAATATATGTATAAAAACAAAGCTTTTTTTTTTAATTAGAAGAAGAATATATGTTTGTATACTTGAAGTAGGGAAAGATTTCTTAGAGAAGTTACACAAATTACAAGCTATAGGAGAAAAGACCATTAATGTTAATTACATTGAAATTTTTTGTTAAATGTCTGGATACTGGAAGATACCATTTAAGTGATTAGGAGAGGGAAAATGCAATGCATATAATCATCAACACTGTCCATAATATGTAAAGAGCTTCTAACAGTAATCAGTAAAGGAACAAACTGTGAATGTGAGTGAATAGGAATGAATGAACTAAGAATAATCTACCAGTGTAGAATCCCACATGATTTATAATTTGCAAAGATATTTAATCTCTCCAGTATTTAGGGAAATGGTGTACAACTTGAATTTTACAATTAACCCTTTTTTTCCTGCCAATTTGGTGGGTGTAAAAAGTTTATGTCTGACAGTATGGTGTCTGTGTTGCATAAGTTCAAGATATTTATATGAAACTTGAAAATTACTCTGTATTGTCTAGGAATACAAAGATATGTAGTAGAAGGATGAAGACATGCATGATTTTTTTTTTTTTTAACCTGGAGAAGAGTAGAGAGTCCAATCAGGGCAAGAGACAGGGGCTTCAACTCTGTAAGTTTATATTTCATAAGCTGAGGAAGTGGTCATGAATATTCATTATATTACTCTCTTGCCTATTTATGTGTTGAAAATATTTTATAATAAAAGGAAAAGGGAAGAGAAAGGGAAGGAGCTACTGGGTTCCTGGGTCCCTCCCAGTAGGGAATGAAGGTTAAGGATTACCAAACTCTTGTTCAATTAAGGACACTGGGCCCTGGTTTAAAAAGGGACAGAGTTCAAGGCAACAGAAATAAAAATAAACAAATGGAACCTACTCAAACTTACAAGCTCTTGTACAGCAAAGGAAATCTATAAACAAAATAAAAAGACACCCTGCAGAGCGGGACAAAATTTTGCAAATGGTGCAACAGACAAGAGTTTAATTTCCAAAATACACAAACAGCTCATATAACTTAATAACAACAAAAAAGCCAACCCAATCGAAAAACAGGCAGAAGAGCTAAATAAATACTTCTCCAAAGAAGATATACGGGTGGAAACAGGCACATGAAGAGATCTCAAACTCACTAATTATTAGAGAAATGCAGATCAAAAGTACAGTGGTGAGGTACCACTTTATACTAGTGAGAATGGCCATCATCAGAAACTCTATACATAATATGTGCTGGTCAAGGTGCAAAGAAAATGAACACTCCTACACTGTTGGTGAAAATGTAAATTGCTCCACCTACTATGGAAAATAGTGTAGAAGTTCTTTAGGAAACTAAAAATAGAGTTGCCATATGATCCATTAATCTCACTCCTGGGCATATGTTTGGACAAAACTATAGTTAAAAAAATATACACAAACACACTTTCATAACAGTGCTATTCACAGTAGCCATCACATGCAAACAACCTAAATGACCATCAACAGATAAATGAGTAAAGAAGTGTGTACATACTACAGCATACTATTTAGCCATAATAAAAAGAATGAAATAATGCCATTTGCAGCAACATGGATGGACCTGGAGATTATCATACTAAGTTAGAAAGACAAATATCATATGCTATCACTTCCATGTGGAATCTAAAAATATGACACAAATGAACCTATCTATGAGACAGAAACAGACTCACAAACATAAAGAATAGATTTGTGACTGCCAAGGGCAAGAGTCGGGTAGTTTGGGAGTTCGGAATTTGCAGATGTAAACTATATGTAGAATGGATAGACAACAGTATTGTACTATAAGCAGGGGGAACTATAGTCAATATCCTGTGATAAACCATAATTGAAAAGAATATGAAAAATAACATGTATGTATGTATAACTGAATTAGTTTGCTGTATAGTAGATATTAACCCAACATTGTATATCAACTATACCTAGATAAAATAATTTTTTTAAAAATGGAGGGAGTTTCTAATGTAAATGTTCCAACTATTACATTACATATATAATACTTAGACTAAGGAATTATTCATTGTTTATGTGGAATTCAAATTTAATCAGATATCATGCATTTTTATCTGCTGATTTTATCTATATGAACTAAATGCAGAGTCAGTTATATTTCAGTGAAAAATAAACTTTTTAAAAAAAATTTAGATGTTATCAAAATTGCAAATAAAGAAACCTTCAAATGCAGAGGTTTTGTTATTGAGCAGATAACTTGCTACATGAAAGCAACTTGCTCCCTGCTTTCCAGGAGAGTTGTTTCTGGGTATAATTTTATTTTTGTTTTTTTCTTTTTAATACAATTGAACATCAAAGTAGCTGAGTTCTGTCTGTTACATAAGACTAATCTGGATTGGTTGATTGGGTGGTGAAAAAGTTTATAGAAATCATAATTGTGTCTTTTTGTTCTGGAGCTTTGAATAGTATTCTTACTTATTTTTGGTCTCCTCACTCCTTTAAAAATTTTTTTTTTTCTTTTGAGGAGTTGTAATCAAAACAAGATATGCAAGTAGGAAGAGGTCGAGAGAGCAGCAGAAGTTTTTAATGCTTTATTTACATTTATACAGTTATGTGGCTTATGAATTGAAATATTGTATTTAAATAAAGCTAAATTTGAAAGTAACTTTCCCAAGTATTAATATTTATTTTTTCATAACTCTAAATGTCTTGTTCAATAAAATCCCCCAAAATGCACATGTAAATATGCAATTCTTTTTCTGATCTGCATTTCCCTAGATGCTTGCTTTAAACCGTGTAACACCGTCACACCCATTTATAACTGCAGCAGATCTGATGGAGGCAAACCAGTTGTGCAGCATGGACTCGAAAGGAAATATTGTGCATGGTGAGAAACCTGCGTGATGAGTGGTTTTTAAAATAAGTTTGTGCTTATATAATAGTATATGTTTTGAAATTATAATTAACATTGATAGTTTTTATATGCAGAATATTTTTATATCTATACATCTTTTAACTCACTTCTCCCATTTAAAGTGAAAGAAACTTGATGCACCACCTGCCTTGCTGCATTGGAAATACAATTCTCAATGTACCAAGTGTTAGTGAAGAGCATTGGCTTTTAGCCATTTGGTGTTGACTATCCCTTTTGAGAATCTAGTGAACTTTCTCCTCTCCAGGAAGAAGAAATTAGATGTAATTTCCAGGGGTTAGAGATTATGAATAATCGAGGGCCTTATGTGATTGAAAGTTATATAATAATTGCAGCTCTTGTTCATGTTTGCTGTAGGCCTTATGGTAAATGCTTGATAGTACTGTCTCTAATCCTTCTAACAATCTCTGGAAGTTTGGAAAGATCTTTATTTTACAAAAATGAAAACTAAGCTCAGGGAGGTTGAATAACTTGCTTAAGATTATTCAGATTATAGTGACTGATACACATTTGAACCGAGAGGTGCTGTGTTGGCCTCTCCCCACCCCTCAAAGCCAAACCCTTCAAACCTTTCACGTTATCCTCCTATTTGGAGGATTTATTTCAATCAGTACATAAAACTATACCTCATAGTTTGTTCCCCTTTTACTATAGGTCTGTCAGTCTTGGAAATCTGTCTTATCATAGCAATGAAACATTTAAATGACATCTATGAAGAGGAGCCCTTTAATTTTCAAATGGTTTATAATGGTGAGATGACTCATTTGGTAGTTTCTTTCTGACTATACTCCACTGCTTATTTGAAGGTACTAACAATGTCATTGCTTTCTGTCCAGAATTTCAGAAGTTTGTTCAAAGAAAGGCCCATTCTGTTTATAATTTTGAGAAACCTGTTGTCATGAAGGTAAGATTTTAATTTTTCTGTGGATAGGCTTATTGTTGTCTACTTTGATTGTATATATCATGGCTGCACTTTTATTAATTTTGAAACATTAGGTATTATCATAGAGATTTTATTCAAAACAGAACCCCCGCCCCCCAAAAAAAAGTCTAAAAATGAAATGTTTGAATAATTCTGAAGAATGCTGTTATGTTTTACAGTTTGTGGGGATATACTGCCCTCTACTGTCTATTCCTAGCAATTGCATCCTGAAAAGGAACTGCTCATTGAATTCTACCTAAGACATAGAAGCGCTTCCCTGATAGCTCAGTTGGTAAAGAATCCACCTGCAATGCAGGAGATCCTGGTTCGATATCTGGGTTGGGAAGATCCTCTAGAGAAGGGATAAGCTACCCACTCCAGTGTTCTTGGGCTTCCCTTGCTGGTAAAGAATCTGCCTGCAGTGCAGGAGACCTGGGTTCAGTCTGGGTTGAGAAGATTCCCCTGGAGAAGGAAACGGCTACCCACTCCAGTATTCTGACCTGGAGAATTCCATGGACTGAATAGTCCATGGAATACTGGATAGTCCATGGGGTTGCAAAGAGTCGGACACAACTGAGCGACTTTCACAAGACACAGATAGAGCCCTATCATTTTATACTGTTAAGGTTGGCTTTATAAAATCTCAGCAGTAAAAGGAATGAGTCATTAAGAAAATAAAAAACAATCTCATTGGTTAGTGAGGGTAGATAGAGTTTTGTTAGGGCTTGGGTGAGGCATGAATTTCAAAACTTGAGGAAATTTATTGTAGTATACCACTCTCCACCAGAAACTTACATAATTAATTTTAGATATTCTAGTAGCAACAACAACAACAAAAAAAGGTGAAAGGTGAGATTAACTTGGACAGTAAGTTTTATTTAATGTACCAAAATATTTAGATCTGTAGTCAATATAGAAAGGTATTAATGAAGTTTTTAATTTTCTTTTGTGTTAAGTCTTTGAAATTCTGTGTGTTTACACTTAAAGCATATTTTGATTCACTGATTAGTCATTGGAAATAATTGCTCTTTAGACTCTTTTAATTATTTGTTTATACCCTTATTTAGCTGAAGAAGTAAATTTACATTCTGAAATTGTTTCAAACATACTTAAAATTTGGTTAGTTTTTAAATTAAACTTTATAAAAATAGAGTTCCACATTTCAGATCCTCAAGAGTCCATTGAGGTTACATATTGAATAGCACAGCTCTAGAGGACTTTATGGGAAGAAACACCTTTTATGAATTTTTTGAGCAGTGTACCCATAAGTTTTTTAGTATCCTTTATAAGGGTTTAGAAGTCAGAAATTTATTTTTTAGGGCAACCAAAAAAAAATGAGATCAGGGCGTTGCCATTTTCTTCAAAACAAAAGGAAAAATACTTAACGTACTGGAGGTTGGCTTTTTCCTCCCATCCTAATGATAGTCATAGTTTATGGGAACGTATTAGTGAAAAAGGTTAGCTGAGTACTTAAATTTTTACTAGTAGCTTGAGGCTGGTCATTTCTGCATTTTGCTTAAGAAAGTATTTGCTACATAGAAATATTTGAAGTCTGTATTTTATTCAGCCAATACCTAGAGCCTGTAATATTTTCTCATTTTCAGAAATTGTCCGAACTATTTTTCTTTTCATCAGAAGAGTTTTTCTAGTTTATAAAGAATGTATTCCAGTAGTATTTTTCACAGTGAGGCTTAAGAATAGAAAGGTCAGTAATCTGTTTCAGTGTATCAGTATTTAATAGTTGATTGGTCCTAATTTAATGTTTTCTTTTTTTTCTTCATATCCTAATAAAGTACCTAAAACAACGATCATGGTTAGAAAAGACATGGTACATGAAGGGCTAAGAGGAAGTGGACAATAAAGAGCCCTATTAAGGTGGGGAAGATGGAAGAAAGGGACTTTCTGACAGGTCGTAGTGGTCTCTGTCAGACTTCTTAGGGAAGGACGGGCCTGTCCTCTCCTCCATACCTCCACCACTGCTGAATCATTTACATATAGGATCAGCTAAACAGGTGTGCTGGTAGAGGTCTTCCCCGCCGCCCTCTGTTTTTACAGCTATATTAAACTTTTGCACAGCAAAGTCTAACAAAACAAACAAAATGTAAAGGCAAATTTGAGTAACCTGGGCCATTTTAATGTAGTCAAAAAGTACTGGTCTTATCAGACTTTAGGTTCTTATAGAGAACCAGGAACTCTGTTAACTTAAATACTAGGAAGAGATGACAGAATGAGGTGAGGAACAAAATAAGATTGTGCAGTTTGTCCTGTTTACAGTGATGAAGGGACAGGCAGCTCTATACTGACACTGCCTCATGTGATGTGTGAAGTTTTTATGACAATTGTTTTTGAACTTTACTGACATCTATTACATTTTGTTTCCTAAAACTCTGTTCTAAAACTGACTAAAATCCTAACTGTTCTCTGGCTTAATGTTGTTTACTTCCCTTATTCAACCCAAACTATTTGTTTCATCTTTCAGGCATTTGAACACTTACAACAATTAGAATTAATAAGGCCCATGGAAAGAACATCAGTAAACGCACAGAGGGAGTATCAGCTGATGAAACTACTTTTGGATAATACACAAATTATGAATGCTTTGCAGAAATACCCCAACTGTCCTACAGATGTTAGGCAGTGGGCGACATCCTCCCTAAGCTGGTTATGATTATAACCATGGTTTCAGTTATTGAGTTTCAGGCAGACTTCTCTAAAGAACTAAAAGCTGTTGTCCTTTAACAAGATATGTTATTACCTTTTTTTATATTTATAAAGATGTACTTTTGTATTTATGGGAGACTGTTAAACATGTATCGTGGCTGTGCCTTGCCTTTGAATCATATGAGCAGTTACATGATTGTAAGTTTTAATTCCAGTGATACATTGTTAAGTAATTGTTCAAAAAAATAAATATGACTATCTTAGGGATTGAAACATATTCTTATTTAACACTTGTAAAGTATTTATGTGGTACATTTGAAGAGTTCATTTCAACCCAGCAGCCAGATATTTTTACAAACTGTAAACAAAGCAGTAAAGAAACAGTGCTAAGAGTTGACATGTAATGAGTAATCTTTTGGTCCATTGGGAGGTGCTGCATTTTCTGTATTCATGAAAACTTAAGATTCTCTCCCAGACCAAGGTTCTTTAGTTCAGGGACCTGATCAGTTCGGCTAGAAGATGGTTCACATGTAAGAAAAAACCCAAAAGTTCGAACATTTTCTTCCAGGCTTCTTAAAATATGGTACTCATACCATCTACGGAAGAATATTTTGTAGGATGTTTTTAAATGCGATTCTTGGGCATGTTCTAGGAACTAGCATTTGTCTAACAAGCACTTTAGCAAATTCCTATAAAGCCACTCCCACAAATAATGGAAAATGTATGACAGTGTTAACTAAATGTTTGTATCAAAAGGTAGACCCTCCCCAAAGGAATGTACCTTATAAATTCAGGAATCCATAAACTAATGTTAATATTGGTATGTGTTTAAAGTGAAATTTAATAAGCATTCGTGAAGTGTTAGTGACTTCATTTATTCAGGACTACTTGTCTGTTTTCTTCATAGAAGGCTTACAAAAGACAAAGTCCCTATCCTTGTACAGTTTGCAGTCCTTTTAAAACTGTCGAAGACCCTGATAATTAGTTACTGTTGTTTACAGGTGAGAAAACTAACACAGTAGTGGCCCTGTCCAGAGGATTGACAGACCCTGGAATTCAACTCATTTCGTTGATATCAAAGCTCAGTAATGTGTTCCTTAGTGTGTCTTTTTAAAAGTATACTCTTAAGAAACTATTTTCTTAGTTTTAAGAGTTACTGCGTTTAGAATGGAATATGAGATTTCTATGCATAAAAGTAGCTCTTCAGTACCTGCAACCTATTCTTTGCATACATGGGCATTCTTAGTTTCCAGATCACTGTCATTTACTTTTCAGCAGTGTTTCATGAAAGCCAAGGCTTGCATCCCTGGTCCTGTGCAATAGTCTACAGATTTCTAGGGGATATTTTGCCAAAGAACTTACCATGGTCACATCACTATTAAGAAGCAAGGGTTTTTGGCACTTGAGCTAAAATTGTCCCTTAAAATTTTTTCTGAGCTGTTTTAGGGGAGTACCCTCTGCTTTAAAAGCACTGACCACAAAAGCACCTAAAGAACTGGCTTGAAGACTGCAAATTTTTATCCGCTTAGGATGCCACTCAAAGGTTTGAAAGCCCTCATCCACTTACCTGGCTATGTAAGGGCTACAGAAAATCCATCACCATTAGTGAAAGAGCTATAAAACTAGAAAAAGTAGGTTAGCAAAAGTCACACAAATGAAGCCTAAGCCTACATTTCAAAAGCAGTTTTTCAGAGGAAGAATGTTCTGTTCCCCTTTCCATATTCCTTACAGAGAAGCTAAAATATAAACGTTTTAAAACTTCCATCTTTTAAATTGCTTAAACCATCATCAATAAATAAAAACCAAATATGAAAAGCCCTAGTAAAAATCTTTCAAGAATAACGTAAGCAAATGTGGTTTAAAGATATTTTCATTTACTAGAAAAGGAATGCAGCCTGTTAACCACACAAGCAAAAGACTGAAAACCAGCTGAGGAGGCATGTTAGCAGCATCAGTGAGGTTCTACCTCCTGTGATCCCTCCAGGTGCCCAACCAAAAACATAATCCTAAGAAAAAAGTTTCCAGTTTTGTGGACATGCAAATGTGAACGACTCTGAGGAAGTATGTGCTGTTTCTCCAAGCTTAAGTCATAATGCTGTGTGTACTGATTACATCCTATTAACTTTCTGAAGAAACAAGTTTTGCAGAACAAACAACACTATAGAAACAGTTTCGGTCTTTCTGTAGAGATTCCTTGCAGATTCCAGCATGGTTTGCATTTTCATTTGGTTGTAGAAGAAAATGCAGTTTCTTTCAAACCAGTGTAACCTAAGTGTTGCCCCTTCCTTCACCGTTTCCCTAAAAAATTGAGAATCCATTGATGTGAAGAACATTAAATGTGAGTAGGTGGGGCTCTTCCACCCCCATTTGCTCGGAAAGTCAGGGGATAAACCAAAATTCTAGTGTTTGGAATTTGCAACACTAAAAATGCAAATGAAAGCTTGCTTCCTTCGTGATCCCTCTTACTGATTACCTTAAGTGGAAAATACCAGAATTCTTCCCTTCTATTGGTAAACTGTAGTTGGGAAGTGTAATTTATATCTTTGTTGTCTATTCCTTAAGTCACTTTTTAAGAAAAAGTCTGTATGAAAAGACAAGGTAACTAATGCCATTTAGCCTCTCTCAAAATTGGCAGGACCAACATCTGTACTTTCACAGGAACACAATATGCTTACACAGCAAAGGAGAGCAATGCCATAATTGACAAACCTCCCTTTCACCTGTCCCCATTCCTGCACATTCCAAGGTGTAAGGCTCACTATCAATTGTAAAGCTGCTGTTCCTGTCTTTAAGAATGTATAACTAAAGAAAAACTTCATATGCAAATCATACCATGTTTATTTTTTTATTTAACTTGGGAATGGAATGGGGATAGCATACATTTTATTTGTACAATATTTAACAATCACTTACCCAAGGTGGGGTTTTATGGGACTTTTTTTTTTCTTTTTTGACTTTTTGTTAAATACTTGCAGAAAAAAACAGCAAGTACAATTTGACAGTAGTACAACAACCTGTGCCCAAAACACTGACGAGAAACACAGAGTGAAGCTAAAGTAACTGTCTACCAATATTCTGAGAGGTAACGAACAGGATATGGGTTGAGACTGCATAAAAATGTACTGCTGGTTGAGTATCTGAGGTAAATGATGTTCAATCAAGATGCTACTTGTATCATTTTGCCCATAAATCAGTAAATAATTTTATGCACATTATACCAAATGTTCCTAAAAAGTAATAGTTTTAAAAGGTAAAAAAGAGAAACTGGAAAATATCTGTGGCAAAGCATCTTTTTTAAACAGTTAATGAGTTTATTCCACTAAACTATCATCTGGCCAGGATTTTTTCCCCTCCTACCTGCATTTTACTGAAATGTAGCTGTTATACTACCTAAGAGTAAGGACGGGGGAAGAAGAGTTTCTTTATACTTTCATGATTTATGATTCATCTTTAAGTTCTAAACTTTTTTCTCTCTGATTGTATTTTCAAAACATCACCATGAAGGACAGTGCAAGTTCATGGGACCAACAACTGTGAGGCACAGTCTCTGTTCTGGAATTCACAAGGTACCTGTAATAAACATTCAAACAAGAATCACACGTCACATGCTAAAAACTGCCTAACATCTAAAATACATACAAGAGCGGTGCAGGGCATAGACTTCGAATACAGCCAAACACTGGTTAGTCCATCAGTCCTATGGCAGTTGATCATAAAGCATTCCTTACACAGAGATCTGGGCAAGGTCAAGAGTGTAAGTTAGAGCAGCAGTTCTGATGTGTGTCATAAAGGCAGAATACAAGACGAATCATAAGGAGCACCATACACATGAGGAAAAAATTATTGGGGTCTGCTTACCCCCAAACAAATCATTTTTCTTTCTTTGATCACTCTCTTTTTCAGTATCCCTAAGCTTAAACTTTTTATTAACTTGCCCACTCTACGCTGACTGTAAACCAAATGTGAAAATGCCCTGCAAAAGAAAGTTTTAACAAGACTAGGTACAGGACAGGTAGTCACTGGAACATTCTTATTTTACTGCTTATAAAAATTATTTTTCTACCAATGTAGTTCTCAAAAGGATACAGGTTTTATTGTAAAATTGGTTAGCTAGAGTTAAGTACAATACCCAGGATTTCTAAAAATGTTTTCTAACATGAAGAGAAAACTTTATTTTGTGAATAACTGGTCTTATAAATGTAACTTTTTAAGTGTTCATATAAGCCAAACATTCATCATAATACTCGTTTTCCTTTAACTTTTTTAACTTTTAAAAACAGGATTAAATGTTCAAAACAGGTAGAAATCAATCTTCAAGAGATGAACAATTTTCATGTATGAACAGTCTCATTATTTTCCCTTCTTGATTAGTTTCCAGGTAGAAGCAAAACCAAGAAATTGAGAAGCCAAGTACTTTTTGAAATAAAGGTAAACTCAACACTGAAATGGGAATTCTTAGAAATACAACAAAGCCTTGGGTACATTATGTGACCAAGAACACAAAGTTCTGTATGGTGTGTGGCACACAGACGACAATGCTGTTACTCTTCTTTCCCTCCCTGCTTAGAGTCTGTTGACCTATGTATTATTTATAAATAATATAATTTATTCCCAGAGATTAAGTGCACGTTTTATGTAAAATGTAGTGTACTGTGTGGTTAAATAGCCATTTGAAGATAACACATTCACAGTGAGCTCCTGATAGTGACACATAAAAAATTCTTTTATAAAATTAACATGAATTTTAAAATGACCTGACAAAAGTACATAGCATAATACTGACTATTTGCTGGTCAGTAACCTAATTAATGTTTTGCTTTGGCCTGTAAATTTGAGAAGGAATCCAATTATATTCTAATGTAATATTGTTTTGAAAAGCACTTTGGCACCTACTTATCAGTTCCATTTTCTCATCAAGGATAAGGCATGAACTATCCTAAATTAACATCAGTTAGTTGTAAAAGCAATTTGTGGAAGGAGGCTATGTTACCTATATCAACATTGGTTACCTCTAAATGTCATTGCATATTTTAAGTTATAAGTTTAACTTGTTATCCCTGATTTGTTTTAAAGCAGTAACATCTGAAATCTGTGCTTAAAGTTTAAATCTCTATCCTAGGATAATTCTTGACATATCACAGACATCAAATATTACTCTGACAAGATGGCACCAAGCAGAAATATAGTAATAAAGTTACAAGTCTCAAAGCAGAGAGTGAGGAATTCTGGGTAATGACACTTCCTGAGGTGATTCTAAAACAGTGATCAAGAATGTCCCACACACTGTTTGGTGAAAAGAAATACACTACAATTTTACATATATAAATAGGAAAAAAAATCTATTTTTAAAGAATAAAAATGAAGAGCTTTCCAGTGTTACAGCTCACTTAAAAAATTTTAAATCATGCTTTAAATTTTCAAACAGTCCCCAAGCACAGCACACCTAAAAAAGTATGTAGCTAAGTATGCAATATTTTGGGAACTGGATATAAGATGAAGTTTTTTTTAAACATGGGAGAAAAGGGGGAAATACACCATTTTTTCATTTCAAAAAACAGCACTTTTTTTTCCCTTAAATCACAAGCTAGCACAAGAAAAGCTAAAACACTGCTTTACGAACGGCCACTTACTGTTGGCACTAAGCGTAGCTTACCTTTTTTCTTAAATAACACAGTGAATTTGTAATACCTTGTTACAAAACACGGGTCAATTTATTATTGAAATTTTGTTAGTGTTTTCAATTTTATAATTTAGC